AAACTGTCAATTTCTAATTTTCGAGAAAACCACTTTTGCTGAATAAACTTGATCCCAACCCATCCTACAAAAATAGTTTTACTGACAAACTACTTCTAATGTCACATTTTGTACGTAATAGCTGCAAATGTCTACAATTTTAAGGAAGCATTAAAATTTAGAACAATTCTAGGCCAAAGTTGATATTTGAAAAGGATCCAGATGCATGAAAATAAATTAACCAAATGAGCCATTTAATTTGTGGTTCGGATGTCATTTTTCTGACAGTGATCAATGAAATTGTCATGTATCCCTGGAATTTGGGACTATTCGAATTATTTATTTTGACATCATTCTTTCACATAATTGTATCTGATATTTTATCAGAAAATATTTATGTTCACACACAGGTGGGTATTGATTATCAATACCGTCCCCATTACATTATTATTCCCCCATGAGTTAGCTGATTCTTCTTACAACCTGATTTGCATTCCCATAATATTATACAGATATTTACAAATACCTAATTGTGTATAGCTTTTTTTCTTGATCTCCTTCTCACTTGACTAAGAATGTGAAGGAAGTTCCAAAATGCTCATGTGAAGGTTGATTTAGTCACACCAGCAGAAACCCAGGCTCAAATGTCAAATGGGATCAGTTCTATACAGAGCACTAATCGGGCTGCAATCTTTTTGCTGCCGAAGTAACAGTTTCATATTACTCACCAAGGCAAAATGCAAATGTTTAGTGATTATGCAATATGTTTTTTTTTGTTTTTTTTTTTTTTTTTGCGGTACGTGGACCTCTCACTGTTGTGGTCTCTCCCGTTGCAGAGCACAGGCTCCGGACACGCAGGCTCAGCGGCCATGGCTCACGGGCCCAGCTGCTCCGCGGCATGTGGTATCTTCCCGGACCGGGGCACGAACCCGGGTCCCCTGCATCGGCAGGCGGACTCTCAACCACTGCGCCACCAGGGAAGCCCATGCAGTATGGTTTTTTTTTCCATAAATTTATTTATTTATTTTTGGCTGTGTTGGGTCTTTGTTTCTGTGCGAGGGCTTTCTCTAGTTGCGGCGAGCGGGGGCCACTCTTCATCGCGGTGCGCGGGCCTCTCACTATCGCGGGCTCTGTTGCTGCGGAGCACAGGCTCCAGATGCACAGGCTCAGTAGTTGTGGCTCACGGGCCTAGTTGCTCCGCGGCATGTGGGATCTTCCCAGACCAGGGCTCGAACCCGTGTCCCCTGCATTGGCAGGCAGATTCTCAACAACTGCGCCACCAGGGAAGCCCCTGCAATATGTTTTTTGTTAACTCCCCAGATGAGGCTTTTTTTTTTAATCTTTGTTTATTTGAAAACAGCAGCTGCATGCTGAAACACAGTAGGTGATGCCAGCAATCCAAGGCTTCACTAGTACAGAAGAAGCAATGATCACTTTGTTACACAAATAATTAGAGAGATTAGATGAAAATAAACACCAAGAGGATATACAGAAGCTCTGAAGTTAGGTAATCATTTTAATTACTTTAGTGACTTTCAACAACCTTCATTATCAGCTGCAGATCACGTTTAAATTGTTTCATGTAAGAAGATTGTAAACAAATATGGAAAAGTACTACAGCTACCAGTGATTATGCTTCAGAAAAATGACATTTTCTTCATGCTTCCATGTAAAGAAGCTGTTTCCATTCTAGCACCTGATAATTCTCTCAATATTTTTAAAGCATGATACATTTTTGCACTTGAAAATGTTTTACCCTGGTTTGGGGCTTCAAATGGACATTCTTAATAATTTTTATAGCTTTATATCTTTGCTCAGATTTGATCATGAAAGATATGGGTCCACATTTTTGAGGCACTGAATGTAGAACAGTGTGGCATATTCAGTTGTTTGAAATAAATGTCAGTTGGAATCATGTCACCCTTATTGTGTGACAAGGGGTACCTTGTATTTGGGGAAAGTTGATTTCCTCTTTCTTCCGGTCCCTACCCCACCTCCGGAAGACTCTACCACACACCCCAACACCTTCTCCACAGGTGCGGGTCCTATTTCGAGGCATTGTCATGAGGATCACACAGATCCTCTGGGGTGAGACGTTCCTTTGAGGAAGTGTTAACCTGTGTTTAAATACCATTTATTGACTGACTGCTGCATCATGCCAGCTCCTCTGCAAAACACTTTACCTAACGTATCCTATTTAATCTTTACAAGATTTCGATGGAATATGTTTTATCAAGTCCATTTTCCAGATGAGGAAACAGGCTTTGAAAAGCTCATTGACTTTCTAAAGTTGCCCGAGCAGCCCAGCTGGGGATCAAACCCCATTCCACCTGACTCCAAGAAACATGATGCTCCCAGCAGATGACTGGATGAGATAAACCTGGGTGCAAATGCTGACTAAGGATAATAGAAAAGATGCACGGACCTCCTGGATGTGCGTGTGCTGGTTAAGTGTTGTGTTGTATGACGCCTGTGAATCCCGGGCAGCAGTCAAAATCCCAAAATAAGTTCCAAAATTTGATTGATTTTGCAAGTGTCTCATCCCTGAACAGTCCTTGTTGCTGGAAAAGAGGCAATTAGGCTATATGTTTTATGGTACACAGGGAATAACCAAGAGGTCCCTACTAACGAAGGTTATGACGCTTTTAAGAACAATTCTGTACCCACTCCAACTTCACTACAGGTAACACACAAGGCATTTCTCTTCATTAAAAAAAATTCCAGCAGGCCGAAAAGAGACTTCAGTAATCTTTGCAGGGTGGGCAGGTGTGTGTGCTGCTTTCCAGTATTTGAGAAACCCTCCACTGAATCCCCTCCCCCACCCTCGTCCTTCTGCCTCCCCAGGCCATCCCCCAGGATGCTGACCTTGACACCCCGGGGCCTGACCGGGACGCGTTTTCCCGAGGTTGTGCTCTTTTCACAGGCCCGTTAAGCTATCCGCGAACATGGGAAGGGGTCTGATGGACTCATTGTGTTCTACGTCTTGGAGGCAGTGATCCGCCGTTGTGAAGTATGAGCTGTAGGTGATACCGGGAAGTGGAAGAGAAGCTTAGCCCTAGCGAGGGTGGCGGGCGGGGTTAGATCTATACATTTCACTCTCAGGCTTCAGACTCTGGGCGGGAAGTTGGGGAAATTCACGGACTCGCCAGGGCCTGAGGACGGGTGGGAGCAGCCACAGCATCCCGGGCCGGGCAGAACCAGATTCCCGGTCCTGAGAAAACCAGGAGCGGCAGAACCGCCGGACAGAGGGGTTTCCGCCCCAGGGCGCTCCCCGCGCGCACACTCAGAGCGCGATCGCAGGGATTTACTTGTGAACGAGCCTGAGGAAGACAGACAGCCATGGGAAGACGGGCTCAGAAATTATTTATCATAGTCTGGGGGGACAGGCTTTCCTGCTGCTCTGCGTGCGAGCACCTCCCCGGACGTGACTACGAAGCGAGGTCCCTCTTCTTTCATCCCCGTCCATCACAGACAGCCAGGGACTTAGCCAGTGGGTACGCTAGATAGAAAAAATCCAAACCAAGCGCCTACGTTTACTCGTGCCTTCCAGGCACTGTCATGGTTCCCACACGTCGCCGTGCGCTCCGTTTGGTTTCGAGCGCACCATGCTTACATCTAGGGGGGCAGGCCCCCCGGCGGGGCTGTGTCGGGAGAGGCTTCTGCAGGCCGCGCAGAGAAGAAGCCACTGGCTAGACTCGGGGCATCTGCGTCCCGTTTCCTCTGGGCCAATGCCACCAGCCTCGGGGCTTCCTCATCCAGAAAACGAGGTGATTCCACTCCCCAGGCCTTCTCGAAAGGATCGTTGGGCGGGTCGAACGGAATAATTCTGATGGCAGCCAACTGTGAGAAAATGGGACTCCAAATTAAGGAAGGAAAATAAGTTCCAAGTCCTCGGCTGGAGTTTTAGGAATTTCCCCGCAATGACCTAACTGCAGTCAGGCAGCAAACGTTCGGATTGATTCTTTCTTCCGGGCCATCTCACAAGCCAAACACCCGTGTAGGCACCCCTCCGTCTCCCGGGGATTCTGTTGAACTCTGCCTTTGGGTGAAAGCGCCTTTTGTCGGCGCTGTGCGGTCCACCCCCAGCACACGAACCCCGCGGCCAGGCGCCAGAGAAGGCATCCTTCGCCCTCTCCCGCCTCCCCTCTCCTCTCACTCTCCACCCGAGGTCTCCCGAGTTTTCCGCACGTGCCTGGATTTTCCTGGCTGGTCTCCAAAGACCCTGTAGCGTCTCAGACACATAAGAGCGCGCGGAGAAGGGCGAGCGAGCATCCAGCCCCTGCCCGAGGCC